TGTTACCAAACTCAAAGCTCAGAGGTATTTGTCAGTTTCTGCTTCAGTTCAGATCCATGCTGTTGCAGAAAATTATGTCCTCAGTTCCTCAGCCAGAGTGAGGCAGCACTACACTCCGTTTGACGACTGCCATACTGAACCCAACTTATGCTCTTCTGACTCTAAACTGTATCATAACAGAGTCCACCTGGTCCTTCCCTTTAGACCAAGAGTTCACAAACTAGCAATCATGTTTCTGGAAGTGTGACTGCAAAAGTTGTAATGAATTTGGACACAAAGATAATTTCAGAACTGCTGTCTAAGTTACCAGTTTACAAGAAATATAAAAAATGTGGATATAAGCACAATTAAGATGGCTCTAAATTCCTTAAAGACAGTCCTCTTACTGCAGAGGGAATGTTATCCATTCAAGGCATTGTTTTCTCTGCATTGCCAGTGTATATGACACCAAATACTCCATTGTGTAGACACCTTTACTTGTTGGAAGTGTTTTTAAGAAAAGAGTGGAAGTTGTTCCCAGCTGTAATTTATATATAAAAATTATAAAGAAATCAAAACCAAAAAGCAAATAAACACCAAGAACAACTGCAACCAGCCAAGCAACCCCAAACCTCAACCCAATATGCTTTTCATTCAAAACGAAAATACAAGATTTTCATGTCACAGAGCCTCTGGTGCACCACCTTCTGCCAAAAGCAGGTTGGGAAAAAGACTTGAAAATGCTTCATATTTTTTTCAGTATACCATATTGCAATACAATTGTACGTTTTTACTGTATCTGCCCTCTGAATATTTGGACCTTTCCCCTTATAGTAATTGCCTTTTTATTTCCTTGTAGTTTAGCTGTACTTTGGCACTGGACAGAAATTATCTTATACTTTCATGCTGATCTTTCTTTTATAAGGATTTCAGAAAAGAGGCAAATTAACAACGCTGATAAACTATTACAGAATATTTTACTTTGTCTCCTATAGAAAAAGCTGTAGAAACAGGCATACAATGAAGATGACTTTTTCTCTCCTAACTTTGTATTTAGTTCATTGCCTGCCTTGACAGCTTAAGAAATGTGCTTGCCAATTTTCTTTTCCCCAATAATATCTTTAAAACAAGCTAGAACAGACTCTTTTTCATTTGTGTATAGGTTTTGGCCATAGTCCAGGAAAGCACTCAGGCATATTTTCAGATCAAGCATATAAACATCTGAGCAAAGATCAATGCATAGGTAAGTGTTGTGAAAAGCATTAGGTAAACTCAAAATCTGAATTGAATGATCCTGCTGCAAGTATATCCAGAAAGTTAACAACTTTTGTTGTCATCCTCCCTGTTCCTTCAAGGGAAAGGCATAGCTAAAGCTGGTGTCATAAAAAGGCTGTTGCTGTAAAGAGAGCCAAAAAAGTGGATGAGTATGAAAGGGCGAATGATGCTAGAGTACTACCTGCCAGGTTTTTGCTGGTCCAGTGAAGATAACCAAGCTGAGATCAACTACGTAACAAAGATTTGCAGATTGTTCCTCTTAAGAAGGAACAATTCCTACCATTTCTGTCTGACTTTTTTCTCATGTTGTAATACACTTTAGGCACAACAAATTCTACAGTTTCTGAATACCCATGACTTCAATTTTTTTTTTTTTTTACAGAGATGAAGTCCATATATCCTTAATCTTATGAATATTCCAAAGTATTTCCAAAGTATTCCACACCAGTGTTCTACTGGGTGTCCACATCCACATGTTAGCAGCAACCCATGAGAGAAGACCAGGGGCTGTCTGGTGTCAGGCTGTCTGGTCGTTTTCAGTCTAGTCCAGTTGGCTTTGCAGTAGCCCCATCACAGCCACAGAGGAGCCCATCAGTAATGTTGGTGACACCTCTGGGAAAACAGAATTGAGAGAAGGAAGAAATGCTCGATAGGCAGAGGAGTGAAGGAAAAAATGTGAAAGGAACATTCCTGCAGCTCCAGGATCACAGAAGGAGGAGAAAGTGGTGTTTCAGTTCCCCTGAGACCTATAGAAGAGAGTGTGTTGGAGCACAGTCCATGCAGCCCACCACCAGAAGCACACCAGGACCAAGCCGTGTAGTGCGGTCAACGTGCCCAAGGGATGGGATGCCATCCAAACAGAACTAGACAGGCTGAGCAGTGGGCCCAGGAGAATCTCATGAGGTTCAATAGATCCACTTGGAAAGTCCTGCACCAGGGCCATGGCAACCCCCACTATCAATACAAGCTGGGGGATGAAAGGATAGAGCACAGCCCTGCTCTTTAGATGGCTCTGCTGTGATAGGACAGGGGTAAAAACTTCAAACTAAAAGAGAGCTGATTTAGCCTGGGTTTGAGTTTACATTGTCCTTATTTACAATAAGGATAGTGGCACAGGCTGCCCAGAGAGGTGGTGGTGTCTCATCCCTGCAAACAGCCAAGGTCAGGCTGGATTAAGCTCTGAGCACTGATGGAGCTGTGGGTGTCCCTGTTCATTGCAGAGGAGTTGCAATAGATGATCTTTAAGGGTCCCTCCCAACTCAAATGATTCTATGATTGCATCACAGGAGGTAAATTGAATAATCTTGTAGTGGTTCATACACTATTTCTACCGACTTCAATTGCAGGGTTAGATCGGTGTAAATAGGAATCTCACCTTGACAATGATATATTATCAAAAATATTCAGAAACTATACTCAAGCTGCATAGAGATTGAAGGTTTTAAATATTTGTGATTTTTGAAGAGAAGGGAAACTTATGCTAATACCTTCAAGGGAGACTTTTGGTGACCAAACCAAGTCTGTTTCTGTGACTGGCTAGAGACAAGTCATTGTTTTGAGAGGAGGGCTCTTTACATAATACTGGAGAATGTCTGAGTAAAGCAAGAATAACTTTGGGTATAGAAATAGGAGCTCATGGAGAAGCTAGCACTCTGAATGTGCTTTAGCTAACCTGGATGAAAAATCTCGTAGAAAACTTGTTAGGATAATTGTTTTAATTTTCCAGCACTGCAAGATTTTGCAGGTGATGATGCAGTAATTACTGCTCAAAAAGCATGATAAGAAACAGCATAGCTCAAAATTACTTCATTGTTCCAATAGCTGATTTGAGAATGGAAAATACTCCCAGTACTATTATAAACAGCAGAGACATTGGCAAACTTTGCAGATGAGCTGTTATTTTATGGGGCCCTGGGCAACCCAATCTACAGGGTAGCAACCCTGACTATGGCAGGGGGGTTGGAACTAGATGATCTTTAAGATCCCTTCCAACCCAAGCCAATCTATGATTCAATGATTCCTTGCTGGTTACCAAATTTAAAGCTCTGTAAGAAGAGAAAATTTCAACTAAAGCACTGTGAAGTGCATCATGATTACCTGTGAAAAGCATAAGATATTAGGTACATTTTATCAGCTGTTGCTGAAAGTAACTTGCGGAATAACATCATCTACATATATGAGATGAATGTACCGTTATAAGAATGTAATTTTAAAAATACAAATGAAAATTGAACAACCTTTGTTTTGCATTTCTATGGAAACAGTATTTGAAAGACTAAGATGTGGTGAGCATCATTACATACTGCTACCTTCACTTCCTTGTATATTTAAACACTAGATGGGTGTGTTAATTATGAGATATTGGAAGAACTGAAAGATTTCAATCTACACAGGTTGTTTAGTTTGATGGCTGGTTTCTATTATGTATAGTTAAAATGCAGTCCTTAGGATATACTTACAATTGAAGCTGATTACGAGTTAGTCAGTGAACTTTCTATGCAGCGTATTAGCCTGATGCGTTTTGTCAGAAATTGACTTACAGAAAGTGAATGATGAAACAGAACAATTCTTCTCTGATACAGAACAAAATTCAGAACTAGTAAGCTTACTTCAAGAATCTCTAAGACAGGATCTACCAACAAATGTGTGCCTTATGTGATTCGGAAAAAGTAGAACCTGAGTACCACTTACAACTAAAGCGATCTTCTGTCTGAACTAGTAGCCACTTCTGCCATGCTAATTGCTCTATTTAAAACCTTCAGTTTTTTGGGTTACTACTAATATGAAAGAAATCTGGGAATAATTTAATAATCTCATTTTGTTGAGGTCATGAAAAATGTATATTTCCATACTATCTCTTTTTTTTTCCCCCATTTGTGAGCACAAAATACATTAAATAATTTCCAAGTTAGAAACAGTTAACACTGTAAGTACAATTATTGCTCTGTGGGAGCACTCCACAGATCAGCAGAATCCCCTCTCCTTCAGTTACGCTGTCATAATACTATGAGGTGGTATTAAAGGCCTACAGGGAACATGTGTGCAAACACAAAATAAGCCAGAATTCTTTAACCAAAAAAATGTCCAGCCTCACTAGGATCAAAGCGTGACAAGTATAAGAGATAATAGCAGGCGACGGGAATGAAGGATTAAGGCAGCGATAAGATCCTTCGGTTATATTTATCAGCAGTGTACATAAGTGGATGATGGAGCCACAGTCTATTTAAAACCAAAGCAGATTGGACGCTGCTCAATCGCATCACATCACACAGAGCACTCTGCGGGGTCCCACTGGCTCTCACTAACAGGTGCTATAATCTTTTAGATTTCCAAATAAATCCTCACCTGCATTCTATATAGGTCTTTAGCTCCACTTGTGACAAATGCCAATAAGTGTTATTATCTACCTTCAGTAGGGGTTGTACCTAACACCTGCAGGGTTCACTGATCCCATACATACCTTACAGCATAATCGTAGAGCTAAATGAAGCCATCAGAACCTCTATGTTTTTTGTGAATAACTCGTTTTTGGGTGTGTTCACTCATGAGAAGCAGAAGAAACAGAAACCGACCACGGAAAAATTACTCACAAAGCATGACAGCGATGGAAGGCTACCTAGAGAATGAAACATGACACCAAAGGCAGCTTAGCGCTATTAATACTATTAGTATGAGAATGCACTCTCACTTTTTAAGCTTACATCTTTATTTTCTAATTTATTTTAGTACCTTCTTACATTTCTGAGGATCAGAGGTAACACATATTTAACAGAAACTGAGATCAGTGAAACAGGAAAACTGGGAGGACCTTTCTCTGTTTCAAAAGTCCAACAGCTGCCGAGGCATCGCGTCTTACTTCTCCAGTCCCAGAAGTGGCTTTGGAGGTGGCCCTAGCAGGCAGTTAGGACCTGGTCAGTCACTCACTCTGTCTCCTACAGTGGGATGGAGAAGAGAATCAGACCAAAAATGAGAAAAATCATGGGTTGGTATAAAGAAAGTTTAAGAAGTGAAACACAACAAAACAAACAGAAAACAAGTGATGCAGTCAGGCAGTCAATCGCTCACCACCTCCCAAGAGCAAACGTGTCCAACCAACCTATGAGCAATGGCTACTTTGGAAAAACTTGCCTCCCCTGCCTTCATCACTGAGTATGATGTGAAATGATATGGAATATCCCTCTGATCAGTTTGGGTCATCTGTGGCCTTTCTCAACCTCCTGCCCACCAGCAAGGCCTCTAGCTTTCTTGCTGCAAGGGACAGCATGAGAAACAGAGGTCTTAAAGTTGCTCAAGCATTGCTCAGCAATAGATGTGTTGTCAGTAATGTTTTAGTGACAAATCTAAAACAGCACAGTATGGGTTGCTGTGAAGAAAATTAACTCCATTCCAACCAGAACAAGTAAATAAGTTTACAGGATTCTGAATATTCTTAAGCAATAGGTATGAATATTCTATGAGAGTAAACGACATGTCAGGGTATTTTCCAATCACAATATCCAGTGTAAGGCCACTTTTTTAGAGAGTAGCTTGTTTTGAAGGTGTCATAGTAGAGCTTCCTTTGCTAACTTTCACAACATTTTTTTTCCTATCGTGGAAAAAAAAGTCGTGATTGAGAAATCTTTCTAATCTGGGAAACAAAACAAATTAAATACACTTGTCCTTTTTTTTAATTATACAGGGTTGTTTATTATTGTAATTATACAAAATTGGTTAGAAATAAAAAAAAATTATGATTTCTTCATGTACTCACAACTGGTTTTTTTTGCTATTTATGCAATTCTTTACATTAGTAAGTCAATAACTCTGACTACTGAGTTTGAAAAAAAAAAATCATGCTACTGCTGTTTCTTAAGAGTAGACAATGATTAGACTATAACTGTAAAGTGCATCTCTAACGAGCAGATTGGTTAACTCCATATTGACCAAATTCATATTAACACATACCAGCTGTCAGCTACAGAATTTATTCAGCCTTTAACAGCATTTATTGTCTCAAAAAAAAAAAAAAAAAAAAAAAAAAAAGTAACTAACAAATACTTCTTGTGACAACACCAAATTGTCCAATTAATTCCAGTAGGTGGTAGAGAAGATCTACTGCTTCTAGACAGCCCAAACAATGGTTAATGAGAACTTCATCTTAGGGTTGCTTTCTTGTTTTGTTATTTTACCTAGCCATGCAAGTACACAGCTGGGACACTGAGATATCCTATGTGCATGTGCATGTTTTCTCAGTGTTGCTCTTCACACCTTCACCTGAAACCACAAGGAAACAGATTCTGATTTCCTTGAGTTCATAATAGGAACATGACAATGTTCTGTTGTGTAAGAGATTTCTGATATAAAGCAATATTATCTTAAAGGTTGAAAAAAGCCAAGATGGACAACTCAGAACTGGATACATAACATTTTCTAAATGGGGTCCTAAGATTTGATTTGCTTTCTCTACAATCACATCTGAAGAAATGCAATTGCAATTATGCTACTATCGTAAAGGCTTTTGTACCACCTTACATATATGAATTGCTGCTGCCATGTGATTTGGCAAAACACACACTGAAGAACTAAAACATAATTTCATTCTTCTTTGATGAAAGTTTTAAGCTCATGCTTCAAACCAAGCAGATTTTAGAGTGCTTCACAAAATACATTTGGGCTTTGTGCTCCACTGCTTTGACAAATGGAGAACATAATCAAACAAATGAAGTAAGAGACATCTTTTTTACTGCCGTCCTTCCTTTGTGACTGAGAAAAGAACCTGAATTCTTTCCAGTATTTAACCTCTACAACTGTGGAAGAATTCTAGAAGGGTGATGTCTGCAGCTGACAAAAACATACCGATGGTGCTCTGCAACACCCAAACTCTTGCAAGACAGGAACTGTTGAAAAAAAAAAAAAAAAAGTAAATTGAATTCATCCATCCAAATTCTTTATGCTTTTTCTGTCTCATTAGCTTAATGGCCCAAACAAATGACAAATGCTTGTAATACTGCTATATTTTAAGTGTTAAAAAGTGGAAACACATTGTTCAAGAAACTGCATTGTTCTTGTTCATTGTCATCAGTGGCCCATGTATTTTGATTCTTACGAGGTAATGACATAATAACAAAGGTTATTTTCAAGTCTTACTACGGATCTTTTGCTCAGCTTATTTTTAAGGGCGCTAACTACATCTGCTGAGATAGTGCACCAAACGTTATTCAGGGAATGACTATAAATTTGAAGTAATATCTGTAAAATAATCTATTTTCCAAATGCAAATTGCTTTCTCTGAATGCCCTTTTCTTCCCAGCATAACTACCCTGTAAAACTCCACTTTTCTGGTACGTAATTCCTTCACACTGCAAAACACAAACAGAGAATTCAGTGGTGTCTGTCTTCCCCTTTTCAGTCCATGAAAAATTTCTTTAATACACCTTGGCAAATATATATTCTACTTCTGCAAACATTCATAAAGAAGAAGAACCCAGATTTTAATCAGTATCTCTTACTGGTTGAAGACAGAATTGTTTTTGCTATAACTCATAGCGACCGTCTTTCGTGCAACAGTTCAGATGTAACAGAACTTTGTTTGACTCCATCACCCTTCCAAAAACCCATCTTGTCTGGAAGTGGTCTTTTATATGCACCACAGAAAATGAACTGAAGAGTCTTTTATTCATGTTAACACTTCTTTATTAACCCCAGCCTATCTGAGAGAGTGATTATTTTGTGTGTTAATACCTTGCCTAGTCCAAAAGGGACTCGATTCTGACCATGCAGAAACAACATAACAACACCAACAAGATTTTATCTATGTCTGTGTGACAATGCTAGGCTCAGGCAGGGAGAGGAGCTGAAGAGAAGATGCATGACTTCTACATTTAGATCTAAAAAATTAAAAGTACTACTCTGTTGCTTTACAAATCTATTGAAGTGTTAAGCTACTGCTTCTCACAGTGCTTGTAAAGTCAGTGCTTGTGGTATGCTGTCCTCTATTTCATTTCCAATATATCAACTACTGTTCCAATCTATCAACTATATCTCATACAGTAGGACATTACTTCTGGTACTGAAGTGTGGACTAACACAGTAGCTGAGAAGAAATTTTCCACAAGAGAACAAAGCATTTGATGTATAAGACTCTTCACCACGGTGATTTAATGGGATTTAAAACACAGCTCCTCGTTTACTCTTTTCTCTACAGTTATCTTTTCATTTTCTTGAAAGTAACACAGCTTTCAGTGATTTTTAAAAGTCTACTATCAATAAAGAGTGACTACATTAATATATCAGGTTACTCAGAAATACCAACCTCATAAGGTTGCCTACAAAATCAAACAGACAAAATACACCTTAATTAAAATTTTCTATTCAAACAGAAAATTTTGTAGTGTTCTATATAGCATAGCTAATAGCAACTGTGAAGATGTGACAGAAAATAGACTTAAATTTTTCAAGAACAAGATGTAGCTAGGCTGCTAATCCCTAGAAAAGTTCATGTTCCCACATCCAAAGTGCTGTTTAACCCTTCCAGATATGTGTGTGTAGCTAATTCTAGTGAGCTCACATTAACTTACAGGCCTTGCAGTTCATATCTTCTGAAAGAGTGGAGAAATATCACTGGTCTTCATCGCTGGTCACATCTCAGAAGACTGGTGTCTGAATGATACTTATAACCTGAAAAAAAAACAAACCAACACTTTTTGTCCTTTACTGCCAAACGACAGGGTAAATGTAAGACATAAGAAGTCGATGGGCCCCAATGGGATTCATTCCAACGTACTGAAAGAACTGGCTCACGTCATCACAAAACTTCTCTCAATTGTTTTTCAATGGTATTGGGAAACTGGAGAGATCCCCATTGACTGAAAGCTGTCAAACATCCCAGTTTTCAAGTAGAGCAAGAAAGAAGACTCTAGAAGTAACAGACACTCTTCAGTGGCTGATAAAATGATGGAGAAGACTATTCTAGGGGGTACTAAAAAACACTTGAAAAGCATTGTATGTAGTCCCCGGTCATAGCCAACATGGGTTGATGAGGGGAAAGTTCTCATTAACTAATTTTTTCCTCCTATGACAACGTTATCCATGTACTGGATAAAGGGAAGTCAGTTGATGAAGTCTTTTTGTATTTTAGCAAAACTTTGGATACTTTTTATCACAGTACCCTTCTGGGTCAAATGTCCAGCGTACACCTAGATACACACATGAGCTAATGCATGAACAATCAGTCAGGCTCAAGGGGTTACAGCAAGTGGGGTTACACCAGACTGGTGGCCAGCCACTACTGGGGCTCCATAGGACTGCATTTTAAGGCCAGTCCTCTTTGATGTTTTAATACATGATGTGAATGCAGGACTAGAAAGCATACTAAATAAATTCATTGACTGAGAGGACCTGCTAACTCCCTTGAGGGTAGAGAGGCCTTCCAGAGGGATCTTGATAAATTAGAGGGCTGGGCTATCACCAACCATATGACATTTGAGCATGTTGTGGATTCTGCATCTGGAATGAGGAAAGATATAGATTTAGTTAGTTTCCTAGATGTACAGAAACCACGGGACAAGAGGCTGGAGGGCAGCCCTGCAGAAAGGGATTTGGGAGTTCTGATTGACTGTAAGCTGAATACGAATCAACAGTGTGTGCTGGCAGCCCAAAGGGCCAAGCACACCCCAGGGTGCACCAGGCCCAGTGCTGCCCACTCTGCTCTGCCTGGTGTGGTCTCACCTGGAGCACCAGGTTGGGCACCAGATACAAAAACAACATAAAGCTATTGGTGTCCAAAGGAGGGCTATGGAGATGGGGAAGTGTTCTGAGGGCAAGGCATGTGAGGAGGGGCTGAGGTCCCTTGGCTGGCTCAACAGAGCAGAGGAGGCTGAGGGGAGGCATCATGGAGGCTGGAGCTCCCACAGGGAATGTACAGGGACAACTCTACCAGACATATGGTTTAAATTTTAAATACTTACGTGTGAAGACAGCAGTTGAACTCAGTGATCCTTGCAGATCCCTTCTAGCTCAGGATATTCCATGATTCTAAGTAAGTACACAGTCACTTCTCTGTATTTCTCTGATTCATTTTCCCCTCCAGAAATAAATTATAAAAGTTCCAATTTATTCCCTACATGTGAAATGCTGGTAAATTCCAAAAATAAACTCCTCTGCAAGAAAAGAAAAAGTCACCGGCTGTAATTCCATTCAAGTGAATCATATCTCCATTTAAGTAAAAGCATATAGGTCGAAATATGTTTATGAAGCAAAATTCTAAACACAGCACATTTGTTTCTATACTGAGCAAACACAGGACTTATTTAGATAAGTAGTTCAATTTGTGGATGCACTCAAATAGCAACAAAAAATAAAACCCGGGAATATGTGACACATTGTTTTCAAAGCAAAATACAAACACTTGGACATAGGCAATTAAGCATTTGCTATGTTTTCTAGATGAATATGCAAATTTGACATTCAAATCAATGTCTAAAAATAATCTCACCCATTCAAAAACCACCACGATCATAAGGAGTGCAAAGTGTGAGTTTTTTTGCTTTAATTACTTTGCCGTAATATCAGCTAAGGGCAAGGCACTTCAGTGGGTTATCATTTTTCTCCTCCCAACTGTTTCAAAAGTCAAGTAGAATTTCTCTTGACAAAACAAGTAGAAAATGGAATTTTTAGATGGAGAATTTACAGGAGACCAGCATGCAGAGAATCCATTATAGCTAGGAGGAAGAAGCTACTGTAAGAAGATGACAGCATTGTTTGCATAATACTTTTTTCCTGTTGCAAATTAACAGTAACTGCTGAACTGGTTTAATAAATTGCATGCATTGTCAGTAGCTAAAAAGAAACATGTAACCAGTTCTGGAAAAAAAGAGAGTGAAAAATATGAAGTAAAAAAGTGTTATGGGATATGCTATCAAGATGTGTATTTACCAATACACAGACACACCACTACTTAATGTTGATTTACAAGAAAAAGGAATCTGATGACCTCTAATTCACTGCCACTTGGCAGAGGTAATGCATCTCTATCTCACACAATGATGTGCAGCTCCTTAGGTGAAACTAGGCTCCAAGTTTGGATTTTGCACTGCCAGTTCATGGTTCTTGCCCCATTCAAATACAGTTAGTGCCATGGTTCTACTGTTTGCAATTTCAGCATTCTGACCTATGGTGAGATTTTGTAATATTTTATTACTATCATTGAACAAAAAGCAACAAAGTCCTCCACAAGACTTCAAGTCTGTTTCAGCACCATTTCAAGGTCTAGAACAGAACAATTAGATATTGGAATGGACATCAGTGGAAAATTTATGTTGTTACTCCAAGATAGTATTCTTTTAGCTTTTAGGTACTTAACAAATATACACAAGTGTATAATATCAGAATATCCTTATTAGATTTTAAGCAGGAAAAGGGCCAGAAGAAGTGATATGAGTTAAGGAAACATGACTGTACTGCTCTAGATTAACAGGAAGGGAAATAATGCATACTGAAATGATCAGACTGTGTCCACTGTGCATCTAGGTGCTATGAAATGAAAGCTAAACTTAACTATGAATGGCCTGTGCCAAAGTCCAGTAAAGTCAATCTTCTCTTTTTTAGAAGGGATAGAATTGGTAAGACTCAAAATCAAATTATCCTTCTTTGATTTAAACTGCTTTCGTTGTGAAATGACTGCAGAACTAATTCAGTCTAGGACATCATTACAGCTGAAGTGAAAACTAGAAAGAGGAGCAGAATAACATTAGCACATCAGCAAATCTCTTTATATATGTGTGTGTGTGTTCATATATACGTGCAGGTAATATATGAGGATCCACCAGATCTTACTAGCATTTGCAGTAGCAAACACTGTCATGAAGATACTGCTGCCTCCACACACCCCAGCATGTTGATCTATCCCACTTGTGCTGTATCTGTCTTCTGTTTTCTCTGTGATTTTAGCAGTTATAGAAAATGAACAGGACTATGACTGAGTACCTTGAATCCCAAAGTCTATCTAATAGTCATTGCAGGCTTTGATGTGCAGCAGTCTCTGTGAAGAAACACTTACCTTTACATAAACAGGCTGACCTTTCTAACTGGCATTTTGTCAGGACTGGCTGAAGGTGGAGGGGGGAGAGAAGAGGGGGAGAGCAGTCTGTACTACTTGTTGCTGCAAGAGAAAACATACTCCAAGGCAACGAGGCAAGATGGTATGCTTTTCATTTTTATAACTGCATAATGAATCATGCACATGCCTACATATTTAACAGCTACTACACTTGAAATGGGCACTTCTTTTTTCTCCACTATCAATAACATCTTTCCTCTACTCCTGTTTTCCCCTCCTCCCTGAAGAAAATAAGAAAGCAAAGCAGGGTAAGTCATTACTAAGAGAAAATGACTCCACAGTTCTTTAGTTTAAAAATAACTTAAAGGTGCTGGTGGGGGTGGTGTGTGTGTGGGAGAAAAAAGAAGTGCCCCTTTCAA